TAAAAAATTTTGTAAATTTTCCCCACTTTTATTTGTTTTATATTTTTTTTTTTTTTTTTTTTTTTGTCGCACTGTTGGAAGTACGAAGTAGATAAGAGTTCAATTTCCTACACACTCACGAACAGTAGGTGGCAGTATGAACCTTAAAGAGAAGAAGAAGAAGAAGAAGAAGAAGAACGCTCTCTCGCTCTTTTTATTTTTTTAATATGGTCAAGGGCTGTGTCAAGAGCTTGGAAGTAGGGTCAGAGTGAAACAAAAAGTCAATCCCTTTAAATAAACAACGGGAACAATGTGAACGACGAACTGTTTCATTTACATCGAATCCGACGTAGTTTAACATACTTTGTGCTAGATTGTGTTAATATGTGACAGCGAGCTTCAGAGAAGTTATTTAAAACTACTAAAGACAGGTGAATTTTATCATGTCTTCACCTAAGTTTAACGATGGACTTGGAAATTCTGCTACGTCAGCTACTGTCGAGGTAAGAGCTAACCTAATGTCGGCCTCAGCTGTTGAAGTGTTTTGGCGTTTGACTGTTTACAGGCGTTAACTTGTGATGGACAGCGAAGACGTTCACACGGTAGTATACAGGCAAACTTTGCTTAGCTAGTGGCTACAAGTTGTTCTTCCGGTTTCTGATCATACTAAACGGCTAACTTACCTGTAATTAAACTTCTGCGTTTAGTTCAGCAAGGAGAACGATCGTGGGAAACTTTATAGATCAATATAGACGAACAGGAACGTCAAGTTTTATTTTATTTTAAATACGTTTATAAGGAGTATCACGTTTGATTTGCTATCCAAAACATGCAATGGCGACTATTTAGTGATTTCTATTGTTTTGTCCTGAGTGTACATTAAAGTTACATTAAAGTCAGCAGTGGTTATTTTCACCTCCCCACGCATGTTTTTGTTTGGTTTCGCATTTTAATCTTCTCTCAAGTGAAATTGTATTTCAGGTTTAATTACACTTGTAGTTGACTGTATTTGTTATGGAAGCCCACTTCCGCCACCCATATAAAAAACAAAAAAATAATAAACTTATATCTCACAATATTGAGTGAGAAATTATATTATAATGTACAGACCAAATATATGTGTGTGTGTGCGCATATTTCAACAGGATGCCAGAGATGGGCTCTCATGGAAATGGACCTCCTGAGTTTTTTGATCACTTATTTTTTCATTATTTTGTTTTCTCATGAATAATTAAGTTTTGTAAAAAAAAAAAATAAATAAAATATATTTTAATTCACTCTTTTGCTTTTTTTCTTATATATTGTATTGCTTTCGTTTCTATTTTTATTACTGTTTTCAGCATTTTATCATACATTCTTATCATCTTGTCTGTGGTGTTTCATCGTTCCACTCTGATTAGTAAGCAGCGGAAACTGCAATAAAAAGAAAAAGAAAGAAATGTAAATAAAAAAAATAAAGCACAATGAAGGCTTGAATATAAACTGGAATGTGCCTAGAATCATTGTAAGATGTAGGAAAAAAAAAGAAAAAAATCCCTTACTGCTTCAGAATCTTGTATTTAGAATCGGAGATGACTGGAATCTCTTTGTTTTGTGTGAATAGGCCAGACTCGTTTGCCTGGGAGTGAACAACCAGAGCTATATCTGTGAATCTGGCCACTGCTGTGGACAAGCAGAGTGCTGCAGTAACTTCTATGAATTGTGGTGTGAGTTAATTTTCTATTTCCTTCTTCATTAGTAGGAGAAAGATCTCATAAACCATTAAGCATCTTATTGTTTAAATGAGTCTGTGGTATACAGTATAGATTAAAGCAAGGTTTTATTTACGATGTGTTTTTCTGTCCTAAGACAATCTTGTTATAAATAGACTAATAATGACGTTTCTCTTTCTTCTGTATTAAAAAAAAAATCTTTGGAGTTTTCTGCATATCCTAGGAAAAGAATGCCATGACTGTTAAAATTGTCATGTTGTACACTTACTAATACTACTTGTTTTGGTGTAAAGTCATAATCTTGTGATCTGTCCACACATATTCTCTTAATTTTTGCCTCTGTGGAGTTTCTCTACAAAAAGCTTTACAAGATTTTTTTTTCCCCATCCACTCACTCTAATACATTACAGCCTATTGTGCTTTAGAGATTCGCTGATTACAGTTTTAGAAGATGATGCTAAATACCGATGTAAAGTTCTGTCAACAACAGCTTGCAGGATTCAGAATCAATGCTATAATTTTGCAGTTTTTAAAAAAAAAATTTAATTCAATTGCAAGTTTGAGTTTGTTTCAACACAGAACTCATATTTTGAGCACATTTGAGAATTTGCCTAAAGTTTAGAGTCCTGCAGAAGTCCATTTTATGATGCCATTCCAGTTATGAGCTATACATTAATATGTTTCCTTGGTGCGCTGTGATTTCCCTTCAGGGTTCTGGCTTGTATGGGCCGTGATTATTATCCTGACAGGCTTTTGCGTGTGTCAACACTGGCGGGCCAAGCAGCGTTTCCAGCAGCAGCGCCGGCAGAACGAGATCAACCTCATTGCCTACAGGGAGGTTCACAACAACTCTCAGCTGCCCCTCTATCTTCGTAAGTTGTGCTCCTAAAACCACTTGTGGACTTTGTTACCTTTACATATTCCATACCCTGAATGTAGAGGAGGGTTTCAAAAGGGCCAGTCATATATTATGTTAAGTTTTGAGCCTAGACAACAGGCCATATGCAAGTGCAAAAAGAAATATTGCATAGGTTTCAGAATTTTATTGAAATTTTAGGCAGTACTAGTGAGCACAGTAACGTGCCTTGCTTTATTCAATCTCAACTGCAAAGTGCTGTGTGGTCTCAAGCAAAGCCTGACACAACACTCTGCGGTCCTCCTCTGCCCTGGCTGTTCCTGCACACAGTCGCTGAATCCGCCTTTGGAATGCACATGTTTGGATTGCAACTCATCAAAACCACAGCCTGGAGATTCTCCACTGCTGACATCATCAGAGCATCGATCACTGCTACACTTTGCTTTCAACTTTGTTTTCTACGGAAAACTTTGTTTTCCGTAGAAAACAAAGTTACAAAGTTACGGAAAACAAAGTTGCACAGAGAATATAAATTGTGTCCGTTATGCAATCAAAGTACTCTAATACCAAGACGGACAGACAGACGGATTGATCCAAGTTGGAAAATTGGTTTGCAGCATTGTCAGCAGGCATTTACATAAGACATACACAAACATGACAAGCAGTGAATAAAAGCAACAACATTAACAGCAACAAAGTTCAATCTCACTAATTTATGCTACCTGTTTACCGATTTAATCACTAATTATGGTATGAAAGAAATTTTGTCCTGTTTCTTGAGAATAAAAGAAGGCAGTACCGTCACCCTGAAAGAAGCGGCTCAAATGGGGACTTCACGGGATGTGGATTGTCTGCTATAATCTTGCTTGCCTTTCTCAGAAGATGCATATTTTTTCCATGCTTGGCAGAGTGGTTCCTAAAAGTTTGCTGGCTGTGGTCACTGTACTTTCTCAAGGATTTCTTCTTGACCTCAATAGCTTTTGCCAAACCAACAGATGTTACAAAAGGTTAAAATACTCTCAACGAAAGCAGAATGAAAAATTACAAGCATTGAGTCATTGACTCTATAAAAAAGAAAACAGTTTCTTTAAAAAGTGCAGTCTCTGCTGAACCATGGTGTTAATAAGGTCAGCCCAGTAATCCCAGTTAAAGTGACAGTCCAGAACCTCGCCCAAAGTCTGCCTGAATCTGCTCTCCATCGATGATGGATGGGGAGAACGACTGAAGCTTCCTGAATTCATTCATTTTGTATTCAGAACAAATTTAGATGTGCTGCACCAATTACAAAAGAAGTCCAGGACTGGTCCATCTCCTTCTACCTTGTCGTTTAACAAGCTTACCAGGCCCCTGTGGTCAGCATATTTAATTAAATGTGTTTAGCATTAATCTGCACAAGTACTAATATGCATCTGTAACACTGTCTTCTGCAGGACTTTTGCCTGTCTACCTGCTACCAGCCTATGAAGAGACAGTCAACCGACCAGCAACCCCCCCACCTCCGTACACACCTCTCCAGTTGGTACCACTGTCCGGTGACCCTCCTGAGGAAGTCTACAGCCCCCACTCAGCCGTCTCCATGCCGTGTGACGCTAATGTAGCACTTAGTGGAACTCCAGAGATGGTGCAGTTCTACTCCAGCAGTACCAATGGCCCTAACAAGGACTCAACAGCAGGCCGGTACAGGCGCTTCACTGGGGATTCTGGGATTGAAGTGTGTGAAGGCCAGGACCACCCATGGGATCAGCATGAGTTTTTTGACAGAGAAGAAATGTTAGAAGAGGAGGGCTTGAGAGGAAAGGATGAGCCAGATGGCTGTACTGATCCCCAGACTGCTGAACGGGGTCTTGCTGGTGCACCTGCAGCTGATGACACCCAAACAAAGTCTCCTGGGTGATGATGTCTGTCTTGTAGTTTTAGAACGTTGCACCTTTTGTACTAAGACGTTGGCTCTTTCTGCAGACCTAGTTATTCAGGCTGTGGGTATTCGGTTCATTAACCTAATAGTCTGATAGCTTGATTTGTACATGAATACTTGAAAATGGTCCCTTTTTAGTCTTCATCCACAAGACTATGTGGATTATGAACACAATGGGCCTTAAAAAGGATAAGGGTTGGTGTATGACACCAGATAATAATCCAGTTAGAAGGGAAATGAAATGCAGTTGTACATTATAGACCAGCTGTAAGCTGATGTGAAGTTAAAGTGTTCCACAGTGTGATTCCTTTTTAGGGATTCAGTACGGTTGTTTGAAAGCACTGAGAAGCCTCAACCTGTTGAGTCAGCTACTTGATGCACCGTCTGAGATTCCTCACTACATTACCAAAGAGTGTGGGGTGACATATTTACCTTTACTGGGGGAGACATGGATCATGTAGCATTAGATTGTCCAGGATGCATGAAACAACTGAAACAGTTTATTTTTTCCCCCAACACAATCTGAGCCTCACCTTACTATGTGCTGTTTGAAGCTGATTATTATCTACCTGCTTCAGGAGAAGTACTGAAACTTAGTATGATCAGGGCCAAAATAATGAGTTTTTTCAAGTGTACTGTATTTCTGATTTTATCTCAACCATATGTCTCATTAGTAATGAGATGTTATGCATGTTTGTTTTTTTTAATAAATGTATTTTATCATTTTAAATGTGTTACTAAAACAATGACTACACGTCTTCTCTGTGTCTGATTTGTGCTGAATTTCTGTAACTGGCTGTATGAATATTATCAATTTGCAATAAGTGGAATTACCTCCTTTTATTGCAAAGAACTACCATTGAGTGAGGTTACCACTGACCACAAAGTTTAACAGAACCTTCTGTTTTCTTCATGCAGACTCAAAGCACTCAATCAGAGGGAGGTTTGTTCTATTTGGTTCCTGTACTAGTTTAGTAGTTGCTGTATCTGAACTGGGCTCTTCTATCAACGTGTATTCAGGTTTTAAAGAGCTGCACTTTCAAAACCATTAACATGTTCCGTCATATCTAGTCTGCTGAAAACCAGGCCGTTGTTCTACGCTTTGCTTCGTCCAGAGGATCTGGCCTCTTGACTATTGAGAAACGATTGCTTCCCGGAGGCGTGACCTCTGTTGACGCTTTAAATTTTATCCAATTGCTAACTTTTCCTGTGACTTATGGGTAGAAGCAGTTTGATACTATGAAGTTGCCTGCACTGTAAACTTTCATCCTTCAATGTGAAGATTGAAGTGCCAGTACAAACCAGATGGCTGTTGATGTTAACTTAATGTTTGGAAATGTAGCCAACACAGACTGAATGACTTCCTTCACTTCCTCTGTAGTCATTGCTAAAACTACCGGGAGACTACAATTCTAGCGCAGAAATTCAACATTATCATTCAAAACTTCTGATTGCTGATTGGCCCGGTTGAAATTCTACTGGAGGAATCCAAGTAAATGGGGGAAAGCCCAGACTGAGCTGTGAAATGCAGTGTTTCCCCCAGAAAACTTGCTAAGTTCAGTGGATGGGGCGCTGAGGCGGTCCACCATGTTTTTGTATTAAAAGGTGTTAAGTTGACAGAAAATGGAAACATTACTTGGTAACTATATGTTACAGGAAGACATAGGCAGTGAAATGCTATTTAAACCCACAACTATAGAATCTTAAAAAACAACAAAACAATTTAAAAAATGTTTTATCTTGCATATGTGCAAAATTAATCAACTTTTGTTGTAAAGTGCTCCACCAGAGGTAAATATGTGAACATTTTAGGTTATGTGCCAGACATTTTGATTCATAAATAAATGTCTTGAAGAGGAAGAAAACATGTATGTTTAAAAATATTCATAATCAAAAGTCTGCCTTGCCCAAATGAGGCCTACCTTTTTTAATTTCCTTTTTTGCAATTAATAGAGGTAATATCTTCTGCTGTCTTGGTTTAGACAAGAAGGGACGACCGCTCCAAGATGGCCGCCGTATTTCCTATTGTTGTCCTATGGTTCCTCCCGTACGGCATTTGGTAGCATGCTGAAACCATAGACATAATTCTTGATATATGTCTATGGCTGTAACGACAACAGGAAGAGCAGGGAGTATTGGTTTAAATCGGCTAGAAGAACAACCTGCATGCATTGTTTGTTCTTAAACTTTTCTGCACATCTACAGACTGATAAATGTGCTGCTCTTATTCCTCAGTAACTCTTAGTGTTCCATATGACCGTCTCAGCACTCAAACAGTTGTGAATCAGAGCGTCCTTCCGGATGATCCAATCATAGCGCAGACCTCTCGGAGCTTGTCACTACTGCGCACGCTCCTCCCGCAGTCACTGTCCAAGTTAACCTAGAGACGGTAAGTGGTGTTTTTAGTCGAGTATTTATTCATTTCTTTCCGTTTTAATGAACTTTATTGGAAGAAAATGCTTCCTGTTGTTCTTCTGGCTCTGACTTCCTGTGTCGGCGTTAAATGGCTGCTGTTTGACTGCTGGCTTCTCTCAGACACCTCCAGCTGCCTGCGAACCACAGTGTCGCAATGCGATTTCAAAAGGACTATCATGGCTATGTTTGCACACAGTTTACTCCGGCTTGTTGTACTTTCTAATGTGTCTAATGTATCCGAGATTTATGAAATAATTGTCGGGTTTGACCAGGTTTTAAACAGAGGCAAATATAAGATATCGCATGGCATATACAGCTGTGAGGCCACCTTCCTGCTTCTGCAGGAATTAAGATGGCAAGCAGCTTGGTTCATTGTGCATTAAATATCTAGTCATTAGCCAGTAAGAGCACCGCTATAAAGGCAGTTTGCTGTTCTGGAGCATACAGGTGTGTGTTAACGGAATACACCAATAACTCGTATGTTATCAGCATTTGCAAATCTATTGCAAACCAAATGATTCCACCTGAAAGAGCTCACTAACATGGGCCACTGCTCCTGTAAGAACTGCTGGCATCCAGGCTCAGAGTTGGGTTGCAACTAGTGAAATTTACTCAGTTACATTTACTTTAATAACTTTTTTCCCCTTTAAAATGTAGCTTTAGGAATATTTTTACTATGCTGTACATTTTGCTTTTACTTGACTAATTTTATTATGAAGTATTGTTACTCTTGAGTAAAATTTCTGGATTCTCTAACCACTGTGAGTAACTTCTTTGAATGAGGACAAACATGTTTTAACCAAAAATTCACCAGACACACACTTGCAGTTACTAATTACGTTTTTTATTGAAAGAAACTGAAAAGTTACATACTGCAGCTTTAAAGCATGTATAATATTTGATGTATTCTTGTTCATTAGACGTTGTATTTACCTACTTATTGTACATGAAAAGAACAAAGATTATACTTCATATTCACAAGCAAAACGTCCTCCGTTATTTTTTTGAAAAATTTCACTGAAAAAAAAGTCTAGATTCAGGAACACTGTCTCAGTCTTACTCATGTCACAGACTCCTGTTTTTGTCTTAAAATGGATCAGCCTGATTCTGACTCTAATGAGCAAACCTTTTCACCGCAGGAACATTTTCAACGTTTAAGATGACGACTTCGTGGAGTGACCGTCTGCAGAACTGTGCTGAACTCCCGGCCAACATGGACGGCATTGCAATGAAGAAGTATCGACGCGAAGCTCACCACAGGTACAGTCACACCTGTGTTTCAGTTGTATAACACCTGTATAACAGGTCCATGGTTCCTGTTATGACATCACTGTAGAGTTGTCAAAATAATCAATATCTTAATATATGTGATACTATAAAAATTAATTGCTCAAAGGTACTTAGGTGCATCAAGATCAATATGAACTGAGCCATTTATAATTATTTGTCAAAATTGTGGCACTTCTTTCAGCAGCTGTGCTGCAATAACAGACACTCCACCCCTCCCACAGTCACTAACCTGATCAAAACAAATACTTGCTGTAAGTTTTAATCTCTGAAACATCGTGAAGGCATCTGGGAAAACATGAGCAACCCTTTTTATAGCTGATGAATAGCATTGTTTGGAGATAATTCTCCCATGAATGCTGCAAGCTAATGCTGTAACACTGATGTTTGAGATAGGATCGACCCCCTCCCCCCCAGTCCTGTAAAATATGGAATGTATTTGGCTGATGGATGTTGCGCTCCGTATTGAACCGATACAGATTGTTCTGTATTTCTGTACATGTCTGATAGACACGCCTACTACACACATATCAACGCTAAGAGTAACAATGATGATCAAAATAAAACACACAGAACGCTACGATTGGAAGCTGTTGTCACGGTTGCCTAGAGACGGACACCACACAGCCGAGGCGAGATGCTATCAACCCGGGTCGTTTCAAAATGTCACATGATTCAGGTTTAACCCCACATTTAACTCAGGGGTAACTTGACTCAGAATTGAACTAACCTGGTTGATATCTCCTGTTCTGAAACCAAAAACTCTGAGTATAACAGAGCGGTGTAGCTCAGTGAAGCAGTAACAAACCCTCTGCTTGACATAAGCTAATAAATCACAGGTACCCCATCACTCAAAAAAAAATTTTTTAAATAGATTTTACCAATTCCGACAACTATTTTCATGCCTTTTGGACCTGCACACCTGTTCAACTCTTCTGGATATCAGTAACAGAAAAACTCTCTACCATTTTGGGTTGCAGAGTCCCAGAGTTTCATGTGGATCCACTTCTTGTTTCTCCAACTATTGCCAAGAAAATAATACTTCTCGATTGGAAATAAGAAAACTCACCAAATATTAACATCGGGACAAACCTTCTTACTAAATATATACATCTGGAAAGCTAAAATGCTACATAAATAGAAAGTATAGTTGGTATATGCTACAGAAAAATTATTGCAATTCAAAAAAATTATTTTGATTATCAATATTTCACACTCTGACATTACAATAATATTATGTTTTGTGATACGTTGTGCAGCTGTACCTGCATCACAGTTGTTTTATGCTAAATGTTCATACTTTTAATTGTGGAGTTATGAAACGTTTACATAAAGAAATTTGAAAAGACTAGTCAGACCTGAAGGAAAACTGGAAATGATCGACTTCTGATAGCCTTGCAAGTTCATCTTTAATGATTGCTATGCTTTGAGTGTATTTAGTGAAATTATTGCAAAGAAAAAACCAATACAGAGAATCACGCAAGAGTCTATTCCCATTGTAACAAGGAGCAGTTTTGTCAATCTGAAATGAAGAATCTGTATTTACTTTTTTTTTTTTTGTAAAGAAACTGCTTCTACTCTTTTGAACTTAAAGGCCTGTCAGAATGATTGCATATTAACATTATTTGAGTTGATGAGGATCATCTGGCAGAAACAAATCAATCTGTGTTGATTTGAACTTTCTGTATTAACATTAGTGGCTTCAGACATATCTAGTCTCTCTGGTTTATGCATATTGCTACATGAGTTCAGTAGTAATCCTACATGTATTTTCTATTGCAAAGCTTTCCGAGGGATCTGGCTCATCCTGCAATGAGGTACGCATCCCTTTTGTTTTTGAAGCACACTGTGATGACCGGTGTTATAATTTCCATGATATGACATAATTCTTCATAATACTTTCATAAAATGTCATCAGTACTGACACAACACCCAGTAGGTGGTCCATGTGAGTGTTTTGGTTGTGAAATCTAAATGGTGTCACAGATTATATGACTGTATTTTAGAATCAAATTCAAAAATACTTTGAAACCAGAGATAAATTAGATGTTATAACTCATATTATTCAAGGTTCTTCCGATGGTGATGGTTGTGCGCATGGATCTCCTTAAAGTGGATCTGAAGAAACTCCAGACTAAACACAGACTGTTGTTCTAAGACAGTCTCATGCAGAGGATGGTCAGGGTTGTCCATAATTTTCATGATTTTATGTAAAATCAATCTTTGCATCATTGCCTCCAAAGAGTCCACATTCGTTCCCAGAGCAGAACCGGCCTTCTTTATCAGGTTTTGGGTTTTTTAGGTCCCTGGTTCTGATGGCAGTAGAAGAGACGACTGTCTCAACAACAGACTTGTAGAAGATCTGCAGAACAGAACAGTCAGTGATGGGATGAGGGACATCAATTGCTGCAACATTTATCACCTTGTTAGACGTCTTTCTACCTCTGGAACTTTAAAGTCTCAGTAAAATAAATTTGAGTTTATGGGCGTTATGATGCATCTAGGAGTCAACAGTTGCATGAGGCTCTGCGTGTAGCAGCTCTGACTTGGTGTCCTTGTTGCTCTGAACAGATGTGTTCCATACCAAAGTGATTAAGGATAAATTAACACGTTTTCAGGCTCACGTATGAAACAGCGTGTCAGTCATTTTAATTTTTTCAGCTCTCCATTTTGTTTTGATTAAAAAGTGTCTCATGCTCCCTCTGGGTAATACATATCTTCATCATCCCAGTAACATCCTAATGTTGCCATGTAACAACTTGAAAGAATTTTATCTATTTGAATGTGTAGCGCATGTCTGTCTGTGCTTATAAATGTATTTTGGGAGAATTATTTTGCTTTTGCAACTCACTGTGTCTTTTGATCAGTCATTTACCTAGGAGTCGCTTGGAGGGAATCAGAAAAGTGCACAATTAAAAAAAGACAAAAGAATTGCTCTTAATTGTAACTAGATGCTTGTCATTGCAGAGTGTTTGTCAATCGAAGCTTGGCCATGGAAAAAATCAAGTGCTTTGGATTTGACATGGATTATACTCTTGCTGGTAAGTACAGTATAACCCTAATTTAAAACAAAAGTCATCTGAAGGTTTCTGAGAAAACAAATTTGGTGAAAGTTCTGTAAATAAATCCTAATAACATCCCTGAATGTGTTCTCTCTGTTTAATGGAAGAATTTAGTTTTGGTTCAAATTCTGTTTCATCATTTAAATACTTCTATCTGTCCCCTGTATACAGTACTTTTAGGGAAATGGTTTCATATTTAAAAAAGAAATTGAATTATTTGCTAGCATTTTTATGTATTTTTAATATAGTATGAACTTAAGTGGTTCAGACATTGTGTTATGCTGTGACGATCATTCTGCCTCCCTTCCTGTACAGTGTATAAATCTCCAGAGTACGAGTCACTGGGATTTGACTTGACCGTTGAGCGTCTGGTATCCATCGGTTACCCCCAAGAGTTGCTCAACTTTGTCTACGATCCCTCCTTCCCCACCAGGTGGGTTCCTCTCGGCGTCTTGTTTGGTTTTCTGACTCAGTCGTTGTTGCAGAGATCGAATCTCTTACCTTCACTTATCTGTCTGCATCTTCTCAGAGGTCTGGTGTTTGACACCATGTTTGGCAACCTGCTAAAAGTGGATGCCTATGGGAACATTCTGGTGTGTGCACACGGGTTCAACTTCTTGAGGGGGTGAGCTTCACACGCTGACATCTCTCCCTATTCCACCACATAGTGAGACACTGAGGTTCTAATCGCAACCAGGTAGCAGACATGATATGTACAACGTCTCACTAGAGCTTATGCATTATGTTTGGCTAGCAGCAGTAGGCTTGTCACGATAACAAATTTTGCTGGACGATAAATTGTTCCAGAAGTTATTGCGATAAACGATAATATTCTTTTGAGACAATTCTTAAGTAACATAAAAGTAATAGCAAAATAATAATGCAAGAGCACATTCTAAAAGGTTAGTAAACTTTACAGTCAAATGAACATTTAACACTGGAACTGGAAGAAATTTTATATATCAAAACTAAATAAACAAAGCAATAAATAAAATCAATTTTGAAGTGTTTGTAAACAAAATTGTCCTTCAAAAAATGGGATAGTTGAGACCAAAGCACCAGACTGAAGATTTTTATGATCCAGTTTTTGGTAGAAAGAGAGGTAAAAAGGATAAATGATAAATCATGCCAATGGAAATTATTGGCTTTGTTTTAATTTATCATACGATTAATTAATTTATTGCTTATTGTGACAGGCCTAAACACCAGCATTTAAATGGCCCATTCACAGCTGACTGTGTTGTTTCTGTGCACAGACCTGAGATCAGAGAGATGTATCCCAACAAATTCATCCAGCGTGGAGATACCGACCGTTTCTACATCCTGAACACACTCTTTAACCTGCCGGGTTAGTATAAGCTCCTTTTACATCTCCATTCTAAAATGAAACATGACCCCAGACTCTAAAGCCCTGAGTATATGTGGGTGAAACTAACCAGAATTATTTCTTACTCTGTATCTCAGAATTTAAGGTAAAACACAGCGATAGCTTCAGAATGACTGGTCAAATATTTGGAAGAATGAAAAAATATAATGATAATTAAAACTGCAAGCAGCCTCAAACAGTCAAACGACCCCTTGATCTCCAACACCGCCACCCCAGTGTTGTAGTCAACATCCTAACTAGTCACGCACTTGGCGACTAGGTGGTGCATTTGGGAAATTTTCTAAAGGGCCTTCAGTGCTGCACCTTCCATCCCCCAGCCCACACAGTCCAACCAGCAGTCGGTACTGAGAAGAATTCAGCATCTTGTTGCTCTGTGTGGTCAGACAACTTGACATCAGAATGTGTCAAAGAATAAAACCAAGATGTGCAGCAAGCAAATCGGTGACTTCCTGTTGGGAGAGGGCGGGGTTAAGGTGATGTCATCATGTTACCATGTGAACATAATGAGATGAGTGTTCGTCTGTTAGAACACACAGAAAACGTGATGCAGCAAGCATCCCACGCGTGGACGGTTTTCTGCCTCAATGTTTAACGGCGAATCGGCAGATTTTGGGGCCTTGCCCATGTGCCTTGATGCAGAAAAAACCAGGAAGATGGAAAAACATCCACAGTTCAGGTCCTTGCCGGATATCCAATAACTTTGCACAATAATCCAAATACAGTGAAATTCACCACCATAGGTAATGAGTCGACACAGCCAAAAAACCTTTGGCCATGCCTGTCATGTGTTTTGTGGCAAAGCAAATTTGAAGTAATACTGTATAATCAGACGGTTCATTTTGTTTTCCTCCACAGAAACGTACCTCTTCGCTTGTTTGGTGGATTTCTTTACTAACTGTCCCAGATATGCAAGGTACACACACACACACACACTCTGCCTCAGTCTGTGGGAGCGATTCCAATGTTTTAGAGCATTGGAATCTAAAGGATTTCCAGTGTTCCTGTATTTCCGGTTCTGGTTTCCTTTTTTCATTATAAGTTGCTTCAGAGGGCTCTTAGACTGAGCACAGGCATTTGTGCTCAGTCTAAAAACAGCAACAAGAAACCAGAACATAAGCTTTGAAAGATCTTTAAAAGAAATAGTCATCAAGACAAATTTTCAGAAATGACTAGAAAGACTGACCGCTTTGAAGAACACACAAAAAACTGGTTGGCAGAATGTTGAGTAAATTAATGGTGAAAATGCTCTGTGAACCTGTCTGCAGTTGTGAATCTGGCTTCAAAGATGGCGACCTCTTCATGTCATACAAGAGCATGTTCCAGGACGTGAGAGACGCTGTGGACTGGGTTCACTTCAAGGTAAACCCTGTTCCTGTTCTTTAATAACTCCTTGGCTTCTGCTTTCACTTTGTTCACTCTCTCTGCTGGCTCTCACTTGATGTTCATAGGGAACCTTGAAAGAGAAGACGGTTGAGAACCTGGAGAAGTATGTGGTAAAGGATGTAAGTGGACTCGGCTTTCCGTGAAACCTGACGTCTGACTGTAAAGAACTGTTGGGTTTGACTTGTGTTGTTGGTGTTTGTGGACAGCCGAAGCTCCCTCTGCTCCTCAGCCGCATGAACGAAGTGGCTAAAGTATTTCTGGCCACCAACAGTGATTATAAATACACTGAGGTAAGTTTCTTCTTTCTTCATGATTAACTTGGGTAGTTCTATTATTTCTTATTTTTCCTGGAATAAATCTACTGTGAGGTTTTATTTTTCTGAGACCGTTTATTTTTATTCTATTTTCATTGGTGTTAAAAACATGTCTCCTATCTTCTTGCAGAAAATCATGACCTACCTGTTTGACTTTTCTCATGGACCAAAGGTGCGTCGAGTTTATCGGGAACCTGAATAGAATCAGAATCATGGCCGTTGTGACATTTTTTAAGACAAAGCATCATGCAGAACACTTCCTCATGCGTGTGCTGTTCCCCCAGCCGGGAACTCCTCACCGGCCCTGGCAGTCCTACTTTGACCTGATCCTGGTCGACGCCCGCAAGCCCGTGTTCTTTGGGGAAGGTACAGTTCTGCGGCAAGTCGACATTGTAAGTGTGTGCTATGAGATAGACTTCAAAGTTATGGAGCAAAATCATCTGTTGTTCAGACAGATTTGAAAATGTTTTCTCCTTTTGTGTGTTAGCAATTTACAGAAAACTCAGCAGGCTCATAATAATACACTGAAGCTTTGATCTCTTCCACTCCCAGTAAAGCCTCTGAATTCACTCAATAGTATTTCATCCAGCAGCAAGAAAACAAGCCTAAGCATACCTTCTCCAAGCACAAAGTAGTTCTCTACTGGCCAAGGCAGTCACCTGATTTAGATCCAGCTGACCATGGCTTCTTTGTTCTAGAACGCCTTTAGCGTTCTAAGACGAACGCTAAAGGGACAAATAAATAGTAGCTGAAGATGGATGCAGATCATCATCATCATCATCACTGATGATCATGAACCAGGGAAACTACAGAGCAGAGTAGCTTTAATTTACGCCGACCACCTTTCCCCAAACATGACGGCGTCCTGAAGTGAGAGGAGCCGTAACAAACTATGCACCTTATTCGTGTCTAAGTTAGGTTCAGGCCTCATAGCGAGAAGCTAAAACACCGTTTAATGTCGTGTTCTCTGAAAGTGTGTGATGAATCTGTGGATTGTTTCAGACCACGGGTCGGCTGAAGATCGGCACATACACCGGACTGCTCCAGCACGGCATCGTGTACTCTGGAGGTAAATGTTCCAATGGGCAGATATTTGTAAGCCATCCCCTCAGTAATTATTGAATAAAAGAAAAAAAATTAATCAGCGCCATTTCCAAAAGTATCTACACCCTTAAACCTTCGCTCAGTTTGTCATGTTACAAACCAACTTCCATCTGTTTTATTGGGATTTCATAAGAAAGACCAACATTGCTAGTAGTGCATTATTGTGAAGTTGAAAGTTTTCAAAATGCTGTACTTATAAAACTCAGAAAACTATGCATTTTTATTCAATTCTTCAGTTGGACTTTTTCCAATAAATGAGTTCCAGACCTTAATTGTGGCTGATTCCAGTGCCAGTTTTTCACTGGTGCTAGTAAAGAACATGTTTGTTTTTCCAACACCAAAGAGCAAGAGACATGTAATTGTTAACATCTAATTCAGCCCTCCCCCCTGTTTTTTTTTTTTTTTTTGCTGTGCTTCTGTAAATGTGAAAGATGAATAGCAGTCATTATCCCAGTGTGTGTGTGTGTGTATATATATATATATATATATATATATATATATATATATATCACGTTAGTCACGGAGTATTAGAAGGCCTCCGATCAGACCTTCTAATACTCCCTTTACTTTCTCTCTCAGGATCCTCAGACATCGTTTGCGACTTGCTGGGTGCTAAAGGAAAGGACATCATCTACATTGGAGACCACATTTTTGGAGACATTCTCAAGTCCAAGAAGCGTCAGGGCTGGAGAACGTTCCTGATCATACCGGAGCTGGCCCAGGAGCTTCATGTGTGGACTGACAAGAGCGGTGAGAGGCCTCAGCATCACATTTAAAAGGGACCCATCAGTTTTTTAGGCAGTATGTCATGGAACAAGTTAGAAAGCTGAACAGTCAGTAACATACACACATGGACAAAATTGTTGGGACCCCTCGAGTAATGAAAGAAAAACCCACAATGGTCACAGAAATAACTTGAATCTGACAAAGGTAATAATGAATAAAAATTCTATGAAAATTAACTGAAGAAAGTCAGACAACATTGCTTTTCATATATGCTTCAACAGAATTATTAAAATAAATAAACTTATCAAACTTCCCTAAAATCATGTTTGATATATGTATGTCTAATTATATACAATATAGCATTTTAATAACTACTAAAGGTAACATAGTTACTTGATTGAGCTATAAAATGACACCATGTAGATGGAAAATGTTGTACTGCCCCTTTAATGCGTCAAGCTGGCTCTAGAATAATAAATCTGAACTGTGGCCACGCGTCCGTTTCCATTAGTTTCTTTGTAAAGCTGTAACTTTTCAGGAATCTGGTTCAAATATTCATGCATAGCCTGACATACATGATCAAAACGTAGCTCTGACTTGCTTGTTTTCATACCGTTAAATAATTATTACTCACCTGCTTTTTGCAAGTGCAAAATGCATCCGACAGAACTGAGCTGAGAAGGTTGTACAGCTCCTCCATGTATTCTGTCACCATGGTGACAGAATACATGGCTGGTCAAATATTTGGAAGATTAAAGAAGTATAATAATAATAATAATAATAATAATAATAAAATAGAAGATACAGGAAGAACCTCATAATTGTAGCATGTTATCGTGATAACATTGAAAAGCTGCCACAGATTATATTTGCTGCGTGTTCCACAGATTTTGCAGGCTAAATGATGTCTGAGTGGGAGAGATGAGCACAGTTTCATACTCAGCTTTGTAGTTAAAAATTGTTGTTCAGCTGCTCCAAGTAAGCTGACTCATCAGTGTCGTTTTCTCTCCAGCCATCTTTGAGGAACTTCAGTCACTTGACTGCTTTCTCGCAGATCTATACAAGTAAGGTCCTGTTTTTTCTTTAAATATATGTGTTGTGTACTAATGGATTCTTACAACATATCCTTTAACACATACTTATGAAACTGCAGGATGTGCATTTCTTCTATTATACTTCAACTATTGACAAAGAAGCGTGATCATAGTGAGGGTTCTGCGTGATCATGCAGAACCCTTACTTTAACTAGACAGGTGAACCCTCCCATGTTTCCATCCTCAGGCATTTGGACAGCAGTAGTAATGAAAGACCTGACATCAGCTCACTGCAGAGGCGCATCAAGGTAATACCTTATGAAAGATAACCAAAAAAAAAAATTTAAAATCTGAACAAAAGTCTATGAAATGAACAAATTACAACTAACTTAACAGAGCAACTCCAAAGGCTGCCATCACTACTCTAGAAATAGAAACATAATTTAAACCATGTGGTTTTTGTCAACACAGTCAACTTTATTCACATTAGTTTAAAAAGTTTTCAGTCTATGGAAACCCAGTAGATTCTATCGAGTCATTGACTTGCAGCACTCGTTTTCCACTGCAATTAAATATTTTCTCGACATGGTGCAGCTGCCATTTTTATAGAAACCAACGGATATTTGAATTTCTCTGGATTTCTTTGCTTTCACTATCACAGCCACATGCACTGCATCCGGAAGGTATTTTCAACTTTGGTAGAATTTTTTGAGGAAATTGATTAATTTAATACATTTTTAAATAAAGCTGTACCATACCAAAATGTGTAAAAATAAAGCACTGTGAATACTTTGCATGTTATCTTATGCAAGCTGTGACCGTTCTCTTTGATCAACATGTTGTCTACAGAAAGTCACCCATGACATGGACATGTGCTATGGAATGATGGGAAGTCTATTTCGCAGTGGATCCCGGCAGACGCTGTTTGCCTCCCAGGTGATGCGCTACGCTGACCTGTATGCGGCCTCTTTCATCAACCTGCTCTACTATCCCTTCAGCTATCTGTTCAGGGCTGCACATGTACTGGTGAGTTTATTATTGCTTCATTTTAGATCTGAGCTTCTCAGTGTTGACATCTGTCTCATTGTGGGACTATTTGGTAATCTTTTATATTCTTTGCTGCTTATCCAGCAATACTATATATAGTTACTTGAATGGACTTTTGCTAGCAGAGATGCCTTCACCTGTTTTAGATGAGAGCGGGACGCTAAAGCTAAAGGAGTTGTGTTGGAGACATCAGCACAGAAACAGGATTTTGTGGTAAATGTGGTTTAACTGGTCTAGACAGACATTTCAGGGTTTAATAATACTATGATGACATTGTGCTGCCGGTGGCCAAGCTTGCTGGTGGAAAGCCAAAATGTGGGCATGTTTTGCATTAAATGGAGCCTGAACTGCTCTGCATATTTTTTCATATTTATTTATTCATATACAGAGCAGTGTTATACTGATGTATAACTATTATACTATACAAGGTTTCCCCCAGAAAACTTGCTAAGCCTGGTGGTTGGGTGCTAGGGCGGTCATTCATCTTGAGTTTTGAGTTAAAAAATGTTTAAAGTTGACAGGAAATTTGAAAATATTACTTGATAATTATGTGTTATTGAAAGATTGGAAGATTAATACCTGAACACCAAAAGGGAAACCCTGCTATAATATAGTACAGTATTATACTATAGTACAGTGATATTGTATTGCACCATATTATAGTATAACACTATGTATTATATATAGTACTTCATATATTATAATAAACCTAACCCCTAACCTGTATAATAAATGGCCCTGTCCAAGTCCAGACCGAAACCAGATTGATCAGATATCCAGTAATAACCCTTTCATTCTATTGGCTCAGAGGTTGCCAGGCGACTGTACATTTTTCGTTCCAAGCGCGAGCAGAAAATGATTTGCAAGTGAGCAGAGAGGTTTGCAAGCGAAGATTTGATCCGAGCAAAGACAAGTTTTGAGCGTGAGGAGAAAGGTTTGAGAGAGCACAGCAACTATTTGACAGTGAGCATTAGTTTTGGGTTCAAGCATTACAAGTTTTGAGAACAAAAGACATGAAGTCCTGCTTTCAATCTGAAAATATAAGCACAATATTAAAAGTTTTGAGAACAAAAGACATGAAATCAAGCTTTCAGACTGTAAATGCGTGCTCTCAAATTATGGCAGGAAAATTCCCCCATAAATATGGGGGAACATCAGGCAACTGGCCAGAAACATATTTCTGCAGTCCTCAATGAATTAAAGGCCATTTGCCAATTTCCGCCACTCCACCATGGAACGCACTCTGCAGCAGTTACACACCAATGAGAGCATTTAATGCCAAAACACACAGGATAAGGTTGGATGACGAGTCGCTAGCTCTCCCCTTCGCCTGCCTGTCTGCCTGAGCTCTGCTTCTGTGTCTCGTTGTCCAGATGCCTCACGAGTCGACGGTGGAGCACTCACACGTCAACCTGATAGACACGGAGTCGCCGCTCGCCACCCGCAACCGCCGAGACTTTGATGTCAAAGAAATGGAGATCAAGCGGCACCAGCTCACTCGATCCATCAGTGAGATCCAGCCGCCTCACCTGTTCCCCCAGGCTCCACAGGAGATCACCCACTGCCACGACGAGGATGACGACGAGGATGACGACGAGGAGGAAGAAGAAGAAGAAGAGGAGGAGTGAAAGGAAGCAGATAGATGAGCCTTATCTCTGTTGCACATTTTATTTGATTGTTCAAAGCGTAATGTTTTTGTCCAACTTTCAAGCGGCTGATGGATATTTAATCTCATCCAGGTTTGCTGGTTTGGCCCGGATCATGAAGCCAGTTTGGATCTAGTTGTTCTTAGTAAAGGATTGTAAAGGATTCAGGCATAAGCAGATACAGCAAATAGAAAAGACTGAATTATACTGTGTGTTTGTGTGTGTGTGTGTGTGTGTGTGTGTGTGTGTGTGTGTAGGTCCTGCTGGTTTCTGTTCAGCCATCAGCTTCTCCACTCAGTCGGAGCTCCTTTTTCTTACTGCCATTTTGCTCTTTTGCTTTTGTTTTCCTGCAGCGTTATGCACAAGTCTGCCAGTCTGTGCATGAAGGCAAAGAAGCAGCTTTATACTATGTGCTCATTTAAATATGTGGCAGCAGATTTACAATTTGTATTACGTAAAGGCAGACCAATCAATTAAAACCATCGCAACTGCTGGACTGTCAGATAAATGCTGGTGATAAATATTTTGTGGGTGGTTAGTATCAAAAAACATTTGTGTAATAATATTTAAAAAAGGCTCCAAGCAGAGACCTGAGCAGCTTCTGTAGGTTGTTAAATGGTTAAACTACATAAGATGTTATCAGCTTCCACTTCCTGTTCTCTGACACTCTGACAGGCTGCTGCTGTTACGACATCTCAGACCAGCTCAGATGTCAGGATGTGGTCAGATTGTGCAGCTGTACAGAGAATCCTGTAAACATGGTCAACTAATTCTGCAGAGGTGTTTTAGGTTTTACTGGATGGACTGATGGATTATTCAATATTCTAGCTCTAGTTAATTGACCCTCAGGTCGATTAGTAAGTTGGTCAAATTTCAGTCTCTCTTTTTAACTGATTTGAGTCTGTTCCTCATCTAGATTCATGGTACAACAAGAACACAGATCAGCCTTCAAAAATGTTTTTTTTCTTTTGTCTTCCTGCTGTGAGAAGTTATTCATTATTAACTCATGTAATCTACCTGTTTAGGAAATGGCTCACATTGAGTCTTTTTCCCTCAGCAACAAAGTTCGCTAACACTTTATTTGATGGGGTGTGCATAAGACTGACATGACACTGTCATAAACATGACATAATATCTGTTATGAACATGAAGGAGTCTTTATGAATAGCTATGACTGTTGCCATGAAGTGTCATTTGGTAATTAGTGACACTTTTAATGCAAAGTTGCTCTAAAAATGGCCTGAAAAGTCCATTAAAAGTGCCGACTTTGCATTACTTTGTAATGACACTTTAATGCAAAGTCGGCACTTTTAATGGATTTTCAATCCAACTTTTAAAGCAACTTTGCATTAAAGGTGTTATTATTTACCAAATGACACTTAATGACAACAGTCATAAACACTAATAAAGACTCCTTCATGTTCATAACAGATGTTATGTTATGTTTATGACAGTGTCATGTCAGTCTTATGTCAAATAAAGTGTTCATACAGAAGTGTTTTCATCCCGATTTTGTTGTTCTACACCTAGTCGATATGATGTTTACTTGTTTTAAAAAGATTTTTTAAACAATCTCTCATCATCTCTATTGTCTCCGCGATTTAAGCATTTGGAATTTTTTCTCTTAGACATCCAATCTTCATGTGAATTATATTTTGTTGTTGTTGTTGTTATTGTTCCCTGTGTAAAAATGTTGAACTGTAATCAGAATTTTTGGATATCAGACTGTAAACAAAGGATAGGAAATCCTTTGCAGTTTTGCAACCATTAGTAGCTGAATTTAACGATTAATTATTTTGGCCAGTAGAGGCCAAATTAACCGCTACACATTGGAGCATTTGTTCCTTCAGGCAGGAGGATGACATGAACCAGGTCAGTCTGACTGATGACCTGAGATACGTGTGATTCTGAATCCTCCTACTGAATCACACAGTAACGTAACATAACCCAGTATTTGTGTTATAAGAAACATGTTTCCTTCGGTATTGATTTTCTTTATGCTGGGTTCGACCTGTCGCTTGACTTGATACTGTTATTGGGAGAAAAGGGTGGGCATCTTGCAGTCTCTTGTTGTCCCAAATGAGCCATTTTCTGTAACAAGGTGTCTGTGTGGGCACCTGTGTCATCACTGATCCCGCCGTGGTTGTAGACGTGTTTCACATGCTGGATGTTTAGTTGATCGAAGTTCACGCAACGCAACAGTCAGTTTCTTAGTAGAACCTTCTACTGATAAAGATTCAAAGTTTTACTTTCATGTTACAGAGATGCTGGAAAGCAACTTCTTTTCGATATTCATTCAAAAGCCAAATTTAGCCAAATCAACTTTTGGTTGATGAGAGCCTGCAGCCCTTCACACTTCATGCATGCTTTTTATTTTAGTTTTTGCTGTGTCATATTTGTTGACATTGTTTCAGTGTTGAAATATTTTAATAAAGATTCTTATTATAAAATGCATAGATTTTTTTAAGTGATTTGTTCAAGGTGATATTAAATAAATGGAAATATGATTTATGCCAGTAGGTAGCTCCATTGGTAAGTGACAGATCAATCCCACACAGACAGATTGATGTTTAAGTACGTATATTTATTATAAAATGTGTTTTTGCATAAATAATTTAATTTTGGAACTTGAAACAATGAAATGCAACCCAACTTTCTTTCAGAGAAAAGCATTTTGATGTGGTGTTTAATCAGACACTTAACGGCTACATCAGCCATGATGCAGCAACATGCAGCATGACACCAGGGGAAGGGGTGCAACCTGCCACCACTATGGAACATCCACCCAGCCTTTATCCAACACGCTTTGTCTTGTGGGGTCGCGACAAGGAAAATATGCAAATTAAGAAATGCCAGAATTCACATGTTCTCACTGAACATGAACTGAACCTTTACAGGTTCCTCATGTGCTGTTTAACCTCATCGGCGTACCTCTGCATTCATCTTCACACCAAACCACAGCGACTGCTCTCTTATTAAAAGCTCTTTTGCAGGAGAAGTCTGTGAACACTGAAGGACACGCTGCTCTCTGGATGTCATCAGCAGCACCAAACCCTGATTCCACACTTGTGAGAACACGTGAGGCTTGAAGAAACGGGCCGAAGAGCGCTTTCAGGGCTGCTGTCAGGGTTGATCTGCCGTTTGGCCTTCAGGCTGCTGATAAGATTGTTCATCATCGTCACGTGCTGAAATGAAGGGTCACGGTCATTTTCTCAGCTCATCGGACCCATAAAGAAATATTCTCTGGATTACTGTGGTTCTGTCTTCATAATAATTCTGAGAATTATTACCTTAGAAAATACTGCATTCTATTGAAATCTTGAGCTGTGCCAAATAACATTTTTATGTGCTGAATGTGGCCCGGTACGTCTTGAATAGGTGAAGTCTGGACTTTGGCCTTCAATACAACTTTGTAGCCATTTCTGGTATAAAAGTGTGAACCAAAACGATGGCTGAGGCAAAAAGAAAGTGTCACAGCGCCTTGAAGAAGTTTTCACAGCCCACAGATCTTACAGCACAACTGAATGATCAGTTCCTGTGTTTGTATACGATGCTGTAGATGTTTTTCCTAATCTTACCGAACAATCAGATTCATTCTAACCTCTGCAATCTTTAGCTTAAGAAGCAAACGTCAAGAGATTCCTACCAGGACAGATGCGGCTTCCTTCCGCTTCTTTTCCTTCCTTCAGTTTCTTTGTGAACTCACAAAGACTGAATAATGCAACTGAAACAAAAGCTGCTCAACAGTTTTAGCTTAACGGTGTGCAGATTTATGGGCTATGATGGACCGGCGACCTGTCCATGGTGACCCTGCCTCTCGCACGTTGACCGCTGGAGAAAGACACCAGCTCCCTGGTGACCCCACTACGGATGGATGGATTTATGGAGCTGGGTTTTTGCAGGTTTTCTCATCTCATCCAGTAATAAAAGAATATAAATGTCACATTATGTGTGTAAAAAGTACTTTCTACTTTTAATGGGGGTGTTAAGGCTGTGATTTTGATTGCAAAAAAACAAAAACAATCACAAACTGGATCAGCGTGAAAAGACGTTCAGTATTATTTAATTTTAAGAAACACTGAATGCTGAAACAAACATCTGTTTATTGATATTTTAACAGTTTAATTGGTTTCATCAACACATTCTGGCACGACCGGCCCTTTAAGAACAGTCAGATTTTTGATTTGGCCCGAAATGAAACTGAGTTTGACACGCCTGATCTAAACCTTCAAATTGAATGTTGCACCCAATCCCCATCTACTTTCTTCTTCTTCTACTAAACGCTCCAATTTGCATTATTTGCTGTTATTTTAACTGATGTGGCCAAACCGGCTACATGTGGTTTGGCATTCTCTGCGGCTGTGATTCCTTCCTGGAGGAGGACATAGAGTTGAAATAAAACGACCATCAGCTAATCAGACTCTTTTTACTTTTCATCAAAGTAAATGAGTCATTTCTGTTTTGTGTCTCTGCTCTGTCTTCTCAAACCACCAGTCGTTGTGGGAAATGGTGTCTCATAGTGAGCCAGGTTCCTCTGAAGGTTTATTCCTGTTAAAAAGGGTTTTTTTTTCTCTCCACTGTCGCTACATGCATGTTGTAAAAGTCAATGACAGTGTGTGCTCCCCCCAGTAGACGGGGGAGGAGTGAGTGCTGCAAGTCAATGACTCCATCCAACCTGCTGCTGGGTTTAAACTAGTCCGATAAGGGACTGAACTCGTTGCACTATTTGACAGGATTTGACTAGGATCAAAATTACATTTTATATAACGTGCCTCCAGATAATGTGTTGTAAACTAGCGCTGCATAAATAAACTGAACTGAATCAAAATCTGTGTCCAGACTCCAGTGGCATCCTGAAGAACTGCTTTCTATACCATCTGAAGTGACTAATCCTGTCCTTCTCATCCACTGAATGAAGCTCCACAAAAACACTTGACTTCTTTCATTTAAAAATATCAAACACACCAAACACATGTAACCAGTCCAGCTGTGCAATTCATCCAAAACCTGCCAAAAAGCCAACTGATCAAACATGAATGTGACACATAAGCAACCGAAGAGCCAGTTATAGTGCCCACTGTCTGCACTGCAGCAGCAAAAGCTGAGGTGATGATCACACAGGCCAGCAGGGGGCCTCTGGGAGCACCATTACATTAACCCCTGTGACGGCGGCGTGTTGTCATCCTGCATCACTTCAGCAGATGCGTCAGCTGGTCCTGCAGGTTCTTTGAGTGCTCCACACTAAGGGACAAAGGACAGTGAGAATACGCCGTGGCTTTGTGTTATGGCTTTACTCAGAGATATGGAGTACAGCCTAAACAACGCTGGGTATGCTGAGACTTACTTCTTCTGGATGGCCTCCTGTCTGAGAGGGGAGACACACATGCTTTAACTGTTTTTTCCTCCACAGCACCGACTAAAGTGAAGCAGCTGAGTGACACTTACTGGTATTGTAGATGAGTTGTTATGATGGACATTTTTCTCAGACTCTGGAGGACAGACAACACAAATGTCTTCAGTTAGCTCAAAGAAAAAGGTTTCCCCCAGAAAACCTGCTAAGCCTGGTGGTTGGACGTTAGGGCAGTCATCCATCCAGCAGTCCATCATGTTTTTGAATTAAAAAATGTTTAAAGTTGACGTGAAATTTGAAAATATCACTTGATAATTATGTCTTATTGAAAGATTGGGAGATTGATAACTGAACACCAACTATGAAGTCTTAAAAAAATGCAAACAGTTTTTAAAAATTTTAATAAATAAGTAATGCTAAGCCTGGTGGGGGCACAAGTAAAGCCTGATGGCCCGCCAGGCTTATAGTACACTGGGGGAAACCCTGAGTAAGAATGATCACTTACATCTTCAGAGTGCAGAATGGCATCCTCTTGGATCACCATATTCCTTGCTGCTTGGCCAAGAAGCTGAAAGACACCAATAATGAAAACATTATTGACAAAAAAAAAAAAAAAAAAATCCTTCATTTCAGTAACTCAAACATCACAACCCATTTTGGGTGATCAATTCAACTCAAATGGGGAAATAGTTCTTCACTGCCAGCAGGCCAGTCTCATATCAGCGCTCCTCAAAGCCAGGATGTTGTTGCATTTTGCAGAATGTGGCTTGCCACTGATTTGCTGGAATACGTAGGGACGTCCCTGAAAAAGATGTTGCTCGGATGGCAGCACATGTTGCTCCAAAGCCTTTTTGTGTCTTTCAGCATCAATGGTGCTGTCACAGATGTGCAGGTTCCCCATAACACACTGGCACAAACACTCCCTGGTATAACACCACATTAAGTCAAGTCCCAAAATAAACACGTAGGTCTCAAGCCAAGTACAAATTATTTATTAAACTGTATAATAATGTATTTTGTGATCAAGTAGGAATAAATATGCCTGATTTCAACTGAATCTAAAAAGGTGCAATTTTTAACAAAACAGATGATTCTCTGTATGATATATTAAGAAAACTTGCTTGACTCCCATGCGCTCGACGCAAACCTCCAAAAGTTCAATTAGTACCACGAAGGCGCTTCATGTTCGCGCTAAGTGTGCAGTGAACAAGATGTATGCACATATTTGTGACAAAGGAATATTGTGCGGCATATGATTTTATTTCACACAAATGCTCACTCATATGCGCTCAAAACATGCTCTGTGACTATGTGACGCAGGTCTTCTTCATCCAATCAGAGAATCTCTAGTAAATACTGGGTTATCTTGAATGAGTAACAACCAATCAGAAGCAATAAATCATGCTGCAACGAGCTAAACAAAACTGGTGGGCTTAGGAAAATACAAGAAAACTTAAGGAAATAAAAACTTGAACTTTGTGGCTTTTAGTAAAGCAGACAAATACCTACTCATCACTGTCCATTTTTAAACAAGTCAAGTTTATTTGTATAGCACGTTTCAGCAACGAAGCAGTTCAAAGCGCTTTACATTTTAAACACAAAAATAAAAAGTCATAAAAAACACACCAGTCAACAATTGAGAAACCAGTAACAAACATTATATTTGTACGAGTGCCATCAAATGAATCAGTTAATATTTCTTTTTATTTATCTTATTTTTAAATGTGATCAGTTTTACGTAGCTTGTCTTAAGATCCACTGGCCGATAACTTCTGAAGGGTTTAACTGAAGTGCAAAAAATATATGTTTAATTGAAATATATTTCACTGTGTTTTGTGTTTGTCTTTTTAAAACTATAGTTGAGGTTATCGGAAGACATTGTCAATAATGTCTTTCGATTACACAGGCAGCATATTTTAAAATTTCCTGTTGATATTTTTAACACAAAACACGATGGGCCGCTGGTGGACTACCCTATCTATTTGTATGGGAATGTGTTGCTTAGCAAGTAAACATAAAAATATACACAATTCGGGTGATACTGATGAAGAACTGCTACAATATTATTTTTATTAAAGTCCATATATTGGAGCCTGTTAAGACGCTTTTAGAGTAACGTAGCTATCCTTTTATTTTGTAATGTGTACTTGTTTCCGGTGGTTGTCCGGTAATGTTCAATAGTATGACGAAAACAATAACCAAAGCGAGTGTTGCGTTACCTCTTGGCTGCGGGATCCTTTCAGCACCTGGCGGGTCAACGCAATCACGTCCCCGCTACAGGAGCCCACCTTGTCGGATAATAATCCTTTAACAGATTGGCCGAACCGCGGCTGAGAATCAGCTGACGCCATTTTCCTTGTTACACAAAAAAAACAACGGCAACCGGAGAGGTCCTTAATTGAGAAGTAACGCGTTCATGAGGCGCCTGTTCGGTTCACATTTTGAGTCTGTCGTCCATTCGGTAGTTTACCGGTGTCCTCCTCTGCTCATACATTAAAATATTTGGAAACAACTACATAATGAAGCCTTAATTACTAAAAAAAAAAAAAAAGACTTTAAAAAATATATTCTATTTGAAAAATATCTAAATAATCTGGCTTATTATGCAATATTAAAACAGAATTGAATTTAACCTTAAAGTTTCCTAAGAATTTCCAGGAGTATACACACATGAGCATGTGTGTGTAAATCCACAGCTGATTGTTAATTAACGAGGTCCATTCTTTGTGGCTAAAACATATGGAATTCTTGCAGGAAGTCTTTCCGCAAGGTTGAGGAGTTTTGATGGCAATTTAGACCACTCTTCCAAAATTGTATTTGTGAGGTCAGACACTGATGTTGGACAAAATAGTCTGACTCACAGTCTCAGTTCTAATTCAGTTTAGTTCAGTTCAGGATTCTATCCATGCGGGTCAAGTTCTTCCACACCAAACTACCTCTGACTGAAGAATATTTAGAAATGAAGACATTTCATGATTGATCTTCTTGCACAGGTCATCCATGTTAGCATTTACTTCAGAGCGATCCTGTCTTTTCCTGATGTTAGTAGCAGCAGTCTCCATGACTAGGTGCTGAATTAGACAGATTGCAGAGAAGAATAAAAAGCTAAACTCGCGCTACTGTCTTTGCCTCACTTGGTTTCATCCATAAGATGAGCTAAGTGTGGCCCCAGCGCTGGACAGTGAATGTAACTCTGTATCTGTTCCTTTTGTATGACATGTATGGCTTGCAACATTTGATCATTTTTCTGCATTAAAGTCTGTTTTTATATATGACCAAATCTCATTATTTCTCAAGGTAATTTACACTGAGGGGTTCTGGTCGGGTCCTGAAACTGGTAAATGAACCATGGAGGTACACAGAGACAAAAATGAATGAACTCCAACACCATGCATTTCAGCATTACAATGCCTCATCAACCATGTGTTATTTTCTTTCACTTCACAATTGTGTGCTACTTTGTAGTGGTCTGTCACATACAAAGTGACAAACCCAAATATACATGGGCTTTGCGGGTGAAACATGACACAAAGGAGAAAAAGTTCAGGGGGTGTGAACACTTTTGGGAAGACATTTCATTACTTGGAATAGAGCATCGGTTTTTTGAAGGGCATAACAATGGTTAAAAGTGGCTTTCTTCAAGGATTTCATCAGACAAGTGTCTCTTATCTTTGGTCTGTCAGAGTCAAGGCTTTGGCCTTGATGTGGTTGCATATAAGTGCAGTGCCGCATGAGCTCGAAGCCTTCCTTCACAGCTTCTCCCTGCGATGCATGGCCACAGGTGAATCAGATCACTCCGTCAGGACCCTCCTCTCACAGATATGGCTTGCGTTTTTCTGATTGTCTTTGCTATCCTTGTTCTGGTTGTGTTGACGTGGCAGCTGAAAGTCAAGTCCTCGTTTGGCTCCGAGGAGCCCCCTCACCTCCCCACGCTGCCTTTAATCGGCAGTCTGCTGAGTTTGCGAAGCCAGCATCCTCCTCACGTGCTTTTTAAAGAGCTGCAGAAAAAGTACGGACAGACGTACTCGCTGATGATGGGCTCTCACAGGGTAGTGATCGTCAACCAGCATGTGCACGCCAAAGAGATCCTGCTGAAGAAGGGAAAGATATTTGCAGGGAGACCAAGAACTGTGGGTACCGTTTCTCTTTGTGTGTCCTCGGCTTCATCTCTCATGCTGATGCTGTCCTTTGTGCTTTTGTTCTGCGTGCCATGTGTATTTCAAAGGTAACTACAGACATTCTGACCAGAGATGGAAAAGACATTGCTTTTGGAGATTACAGTCCTGCCTGGAGGTTCCACAGAAAAATAGTGCATGGAGCTCTTTGCATGTTTGGAGAAGGATCTGCCACCATTGAGAGGATGAGTGAGTACAGATCACTACACTTCCTTTAATGTAACATGTTGAAATATAGCAACACTGATTAAAAAAATATTTATTCACGCATCTAGAAATTCTCTCTGGCATTTATCCATACAGAGTGCCTTTGTGTGTGTTTGTTTGTAATACCTTGTGGGGACCATTTTTCTTACACATACTACGCTGTGGGGACCAAAGTCTGGTCCCCACAAGGGGAAGCATTGTTTTTGGGTCAGGGGTCAGATTTAGGACTAAGGTGTGAATTGAGTTTTAGTTAGGGTTATGCATAGGGTTAGGTAAGTAACGGATAGGGTTTGGATAAGGGTAAGGTTTATGCTGTAGAAATGAGTGGAAGTCAATGGAAAATCCCCACAAAGGTAGCCAGCCAAACATGTGTGTGTGTTTGCACGTGTGTGTGTGTGTGTGTGTGTGTGTGTGTGTGTGTGTGTGTGTGTGTGAGAGAGAGAGAGAGTGGAGCAAAGTAGCTAGGAGAAATGTTGTGCACTCAGTTTTCTTTTGGCATATCAGTTTTTTGGAGTGAACACAAATCAATTTCCTCCAAAGTGATTTGTGGTCCTGTAGTGTTAAAATGATTGAAACCTATTAAGTTTATCTACTGGGCAGAACCGGACAGTAACTGAACATGCTGGACCTGTGGTGTGCTCAGTCTGTGCAGAGGCCCAGTCTTTGTGTTCCACTGTGTCCGAGGCAGCTTCTTTGGGCCTGGCTCTGGATCTGGCCCCTGAGCTGACTCGGGCCGTCACAAACGTGGTCTGTTCCCTCTGCTTCAACTCATCCTACGCCCGCGGAGACCCAGAGTTCGAAGACATGCTGCGCTACAGCCAGGGCATCGTGGACACGGTGGCTAAGGACAGCTTAGTTGACATCTTCCCCTGGCTACAGGTCAGCCGATGTCAACGCCCCACACAGAGACAGCTTCAGATGTGGGAAATGAGGTTGTAATCAGAAAGACACGTGAAGTTACAGCTACAATAGTTGCTACATAAACAATAAGAATAGTACAAAAATTACAACAAACTAAATTAGCCAGAAACAGATGTTTCATCCAGTTTGAACAAGAGTACATTGAGGTAAATTTTCTCTCATGATAACTCATAGAAACATTAGCCTTAAATCTCTCCAACTTCCATTAAATGAGACCAATATGTTTAATAATCAAGTTATTAAACTGGTTTGAGGGTCTGATCAACATGGTAAATGTTTAGGTAACAAATCATACAGAGTACAAACTCAAGTTCTCCAGTTCTTTACATCATTGGGTTTAAGAGGCAACCTGCTTTGTTGCTTTTAAAGGGCAGTTTGTTTCACCTTAACACCTGAATAAAAACATGTACAAAAAATGTCTTCAGTAAATATTGAATCATATAGTAAAGATAATTTGAAACATGTTATGATCAAAACTGATTAACTTCTGCCTCTGTGGCCCAGATTTTCCCCAATGCAGACCTGCGTCTTCTGAAGCTCTGTGTTTCAGTCAGAGACAAACTTCTGCAGAAGAAGTATGAAGAGCATAAGGTAGGCACTGATGTTGAAACCATTCATGTAGGTTAGAACCCATATTAAAACTGCACAAAAAGAAACGAAACGCAATGTTCCAATTAAACTGACCGTTACATGAATGGGCCACTAGGTCCACTTTGTAGCCTATTATGTTGAACTTGACATATCAGCCCTCAAGACAAAAGTTTGGTCAGCCCTGATCTAACAATATGTGTCTTATTTACTGCTGCTGCACTGCCTGTTATTGGCTATTAATATTCGAGTAAGAATAACAAGTAAGGTTTATTGACCAGAAATGCAAACTACACTGAAGAAAAATATAAACGCCCCATGTCAAATATTGTTGACACGTGTAGTTAACAACTGTAAATGAGCATTTGCTGACATTTTGTTGAACAAAAGTAATATTTCTCTTGATTTCTGTATAATTTTTAATCCAACTTGCTTCTCAGTGAGCATTACTCAGTTAGTTGTTATTTTTTTTACTCAGTGCATGGGTGGGGCATGTCCAGTGGTCGATCGGACAAAATGAGCAACAATCTGACAATCCTTGGACTGGGGACAGTAAAAGGCCACCCCAAAATGTCAAATTTTGTCAAGTGTCATAACACCTCAGATGTTCATCAGAGCAGGAGCTGCACGGCTCAGTGTACATTATCAGATCTTAAAAATAAAAACAAAAAAACCTTTTTCCTCTTTATTTTCCTCCTGAGTGATACGACCTCTCATCTCCTGTTTGTTTTGACTGTGTGTGTGTGTTGTGTGTGTGTTGTGTGGGTGTGTGTGTTGCACACCGACTCTTTCCCGTCTCCCAGGCAGACTACAGCGACAACGTCCAGAGAGACCTGCTGGACGCCCTGCTGAGAGCCAAACGCAGCGCTGAGAACAACAACACGGCGGACGTTGACACGGCGACTGCAGGCCTCAGTGACGATCACCTCCTCATGACTGTGGGCGACATCTTTGGAGCCGGTGTTGAAACCACCACCACTGTGCTCAAGTGGGCAGTAACATACCTCATCCATCATCCAGACGTAAGCCACGAATCCCTGCTCTGTTTATTCTGAACTCTATCAAACTTTCAGTACATTTAATGCTGCTCAAGCTGTTATTCTTATTTAGTCCTCTAGATGGCAGTCATACTATGATAGATGAAAATAGGACAACGTTTTCGGATATGTGCAGATGTTACTCTTTCTCAAGTTTTACAAATGAAGACCATGTTGACGCCCCCTAAGAATATATTCAAGCTTTCATTGTTGCAGTGCAGCATGCAACAAATTATTTTATTTTTATCAATCACAACTCACTATTATTGGTGCATCTAATAACCCATTTGAAATACATTCAGTTTAAAGTTAATTAATGATACCTCACTTGTTAAATAAGGTATTAGTAATTATAAGTTTCTAGGAACTTAAATTATTAATGGGGCTGGAGCTCTAAACATCTCACTATTAAAAAAAAACAAAAACTTCTCATTTTTACTGCATGAAGCCAGATTTGATCACTTCATTTTTTCTTTAATTCT